AGTGATGAGAATCAGGGCCTTTCTTGGAGATGAACACAGCCCTGCATTTGTGAGTCCCAGGATTATGTAAGAGTATTTCAAGGACCCCTATGGAATTTACTTCCCTAACTTTTCCTTTTTAGTTTTTTGATGAGCTTCTTGTTTGCTCCAACTCTTATTGCTGCTTTTAGCAGCTGGGATGTTAGACAGTTGCCATTGATTGTTTTTGACAAATGTTCTGGGGAGAAGGCTTTGAAGAGGGAGCTCTGAGTCAGGTCAGATGAAGACAGGGCTTGAGTGTAGAGGTTTCCAGAGATCTGCCAGCCATGTCAAATAACGACAGTTCTCTTGGGATAGGACTTTTGGAGAACTCTAAACCTATTCTTCTCCCCATCACCCCACCAGTGGTTGCTAGATGCTGATTTTTTGGGCTACAGCGATTGTGAGGCTGTTGGTTTTCAAGACTACTGTAGAAATGGGGAAAGGAGATGGATATGGAGTAACTTAACGCTTTATTAACTGGGGGATTTTTGCAGAAACTAACAGTAACACCTGTGGCTGTAATACGTCTCTGGTCAAAAATGTGTTAAAGTGTCACAGATCTCACTGTTCTTACTGAGACTCGGCCAATTTTTTAAACACTCCTCAGATTATTACAGGCCTTTGGTTAATTTCCAGAGTTCTGAAAAAGTTGATTTTTCCATGTTATGGAAGAATGAATTTTTGGAGTTCATTCAGAAGTGTTCATCTTCCCTATTTGATATTGATATTTTAAAAATGTTAGATGTGTAACAATTTGTTTTTTTCTATTATTTCTTTTGAAAAAATTAGTATTCACCAGTCATTTTTATTACTAAACATTTATTTAAGTGCTCATTATTATCATGATATAGCAATTAAACACATTTATGAATTCATTTTTGACTTCATTGGCTATTCATCATTTATTCTGCATTTATTGAGCATTTACTCTGTACTGGTTACTGGAATGCAGGTGAATAAGGCATGGTCCCTGTTTCAAGGAGTTCCCAGTTTAGTGGGGAGGATTGAGAAAAAAAAAACTGTAACAACTATAAGAAAGTGTGAGTGTTATAATAGCATCATCTACTAGGAGCTGTAGAAGTTTCATCTCTGTGTGTATACTCAAGGCCTGGCACACCATCATTTCTCACTTGGGCTATTGCACTAGCATCCTCCTCCTCATCATCATTATTACTCTTATCTTTTCAATTCAATTTCTTTATCACAATCAGAATGATCTTTACAGAATGCAAGTGAGATCATGTCACGCCTGTCTCTTTAAAATCTTTCGGTTATTTTCATCACCCATAGGTTCATCCAAAAACCTTTTTTTATAGCCTCCAGCTGTCAGAAATACCTGATATCTTTTGCCACTCCAACCCGTAACTCATTATGATTTCATGAGTGTGGCCTCAGTTCAGTTCCTTGAACATAGCAAAATTTTTTCTTATCTCAGAGTCTTTGCATATATTGTTTCTTTTGCTGGGAATACCTGTTCCCCAGCTCTGCTTAGCTGACTTCTAGTCATTCTGGTATCTGCTTAAATATTACTGAGAGTGGCTTCCTTAATCACCTACCTCCCATTCTGAGTTATATACTCTTATTTTACCCTGTACTTTTCACTCATAATCTTTATCACAGGATTTTTATATTTGTAACTATATATTCATTTTTGAGAGTGTTTGTTTAATCTGTATTCAGCTAGAATATAATTTCTGTGAGAAGGAGTGTGCCTTTTTACCACGGTATGTCCTTAGTAAATATTCATAAATGAATTAGTCAGTAGAAGGCATTCAGGTAAAATATATACTGATCTAAATTTAGCTTAGGGAGTGCCCAATTTACCATATAGCAAGGCTTACACAATCTTGAAGGAATAGTACATGTTAGTTAAATGAAAAGGGGTGGGATATTCTAGGGTGGCAATAGTAACATCATGTGCAAAGGCCCAGAAGAGTGAGAAAATAAGGTCTAGGAGACTGGTTCTCAAACATTTTGGTTTGAGTACCCCTTTACAGTCCTAAAATTGAGGACTCCAAAGAGTCTTTTTTTAAATATAGGTTGTATTTATCAATATCATATTAGAAATCAAAACTGAGAAATTTTAAAAATATTTAATTCACTTAATAATAATAAACCTACTACATGTTATTCTGAATAATATGTCTCTTATGAAAAATAACCTTATTTTCCAAAACAAGAAAATATGGTGACAAGAGTACCTTTATTTTACATTTTTCAAATCCTCTAAATCAGAGACAGCAGCTAGGTTCTCATTATCTGCTTCTTCAGTCATCTGTTGCAATATGTTGTATTAGTTGAAGTCTAGGAAAAATATCGGATCTCAAATAAGTGGTGGGAAAAGGGAGGAACATTTTCATAGCCTTTCAGATAGTTACAGATATTTTTCTTTGATATTAAACCAAAGCTTAACATGTTAATTGCAATATCAAATAAGAAAACATATCAGTGAACTTTTGTACTTTATTACATTAAAATCCACTGGTCTGTTCTGTATAGAGTGGATCTTTTGCCTATGTGTGATTCTGTAACATCTTGCATTGGTCATATGGAAAATATTGGGTTATTGACGTAGACTGATGTTCCAAATGGTGACACATTTTATTATATAATATCAAATTACAGTCATTATCCTCTTCATGATAAAAGTAGTAGTCTTTACGTATTGAGAAGCTGTCAAACTCTTGGAGACACACAAATTATACAAAATTCTAACATTTTGCTTGAAAGCTTGAATTTTATGATTGGCAACAAATACTGCCAGTTGTTTTCTTTGACGTGACAAGCTCATTTCATTTATTTTTGAGAAAATGTCAGCCAAATACCCAAGTCTGAATAATCATAGTTACTCAAGAGCAGGGATGAATCAACTTACCCAGGATCCCATAGCTAGTAAGTGACTAGAGACCAGGTCTTTCTGATTCTGTTATGTTGTATTACCCCATGTCTGAATTGTTCGGGACTTGCCAAAGCATGTTCTTACACTAGTGTATTGTGGTATTTTTCCTAGAGAGCATGAATGGTTTAAACAAGATTTGCCCAGTTACTTATTTCCTGAAGACCCCTCCTATGATGCTAACGTCATTGATGATGAGGCTGTAAAAGAAGTGTGTGAAAAATTTGAGTGTACAGAATCAGAAGTAATGAACAGTTTATATAGTGGTGACCCTCAAGACCAGCTTGCAGTGGCTTATCATCTTATCATTGACAATCGGAGAATAATGAACCAAGCCAGTGAGTTCTACCTCGCCTCTAGTCCCCCAACTGGTTCTTTTATGGATGATAGTGCCATGCATATTCCCCCAGGCCTGAAACCTCATCCAGAAAGGATGCCACCTCTTGTAGCAGACAGCCCTAAAGCAAGATGTCCGTTGGATGCACTGAATACAACTAAGCCCAAATCTTTAGCTGTGAAAAAAGCTAAGTGGCATCTTGGAATCCGAAGTCAAAGCAAACCATATGACATTATGGCTGAAGTTTACCGAGCTATGAAGCAGCTGGATTTTGAATGGAAGGTAGGAAATTGTAGTATATGAAGATCATTTGTAGAAGCCATTTTTTGTGTAGTAAGCTGCTCTGAGCTGCTGAGTTGAGTACTAAGGTCAATTTAAAAAGTTGGTTTTGATTTAGATATGAATTTAGTGGTCTTGATGCTTCTGGCTGATAAATCCCATTCTTTCCAATAATGTACCACGTGCATTCAAAACAAAACAAAACAAATCTCTGTAAGGATGAAGAACTGTCAATGTTGGGGACCTATGTATTTTTTAAATTATAGAATAGCATTCTTGGCTGAGAAACAAAGTTTTAATCAACTTGAAATCTCTTGAGAAATTAATCTCTTGAATTCAAGAGAATTTAATCTCTTGAATCTCTTGAGAAATCTCTTGAAAACCTGTTTCAGCATGCATCATAACAATAAAAAGTCATGTGTCTTCAAAGATGCTGTGTTTTTACTTTTCTCTCTCCTTTGTAAGGGAGGGATTTTTTCTTTTTGCCAGTAGCTGTAACAGCAAGTGGTTGACACAAATTATACCATCAGGACATATTTATTCAGTAAACAAATACTTTTCTGTAAGTTGAGAAAAATCTGTCTTATTTGGCTTGTTCTTTTAGTCCTTAGTTGCAGTATATTTTTCTTATTCTCAGCCCACATTTTACTTTTTAATTAGTACTCAAATTCATTTCAGTTCTATTTGAGTATATGTGGGGGAAAAATCAGTTTTTTATTTTCAGGTATCTTTTACTCTTGTTCCTTTCTTGAGGACTGTGAATGTACTTTTAACGGAAGAAAAAAATTTTCAAACATATCATGTAAATATTCACTTGACATGTTTTTATTTCATTATTTGTACATGGAATGAATAAACAAAGTAATATTTCCTTAAAACCATTAAAAAAAAACAAACAGATCTCCCTTTTCCGAAGCAGTTTTATTTAGTTTAAAAGGAGATGTTAATGTCTTTAAAATTCTTACTGAGGGGCTTCCCTGGTGGCGCAGTGGTTGAGAGTCCGCCTGCCGATGCAGGGGACACGGGTTCGTGCCCCGGTCTGGGAAGATCCCACATGCCGCGGAGCGGCTGGGCCCGTGAGCCATGGCCGCTGAGCCTGCGTGTCCGGAGCCTGTGCTCCGCAACGGGAGAGGCCACAACAGTGAGAGGCCCGCATACTGCAAAAAGAAAACAAAAACAAAAAAAATTCTTACTGAGAAATTTTTGGAACTAATTTGATGTTTTGAAAACCAGAATCATCTTTATCTGAGTTGAGGTTTTATTATCTTCAAAAGGCAAATAGTATCTTCTTTACGAGATTACTACGATACTTAAATTTTGTGGCAGTACCTGTTAACAGTGCCTGATTCAAAGCATTGACATGTTATTTGTCCTTTTTCTGTCTATTCTGTATTCATAGGTAAAGGTATCCAAGTTGATACCTTTGGGCAACCAAAATATTACTGATGGTTTAGATTGGAGGCATATCTGGAAAGAAGGCTGGACTCTCTAGAGTGTCTGAGTTCCCTTTGAATTTTAACTGCTGTACACAGTACTTTTAGTGCGATTAAATAAATACTAAACTACTATGTAATGTTAAAAAAAAAAAAGATCATTCAGGAATTCCCTCTCTACCCCACCTCTATCAGTTATTTGTTTTGATATTATTCTTTGCAATAAGAATAAGGGAGATATTTTGTAGTTTGTTATTTCGAATGTTTTTCCTTAAAGATTTTTCCTTTTAGGTAGTGAATGCATACCATCTACGTGTAAGAAGAAGAAATCCAGTGACTGGCAATTATGTGAAAATGAGTTTACAGCTGTACCTAGTTGACAATAGAAGCTATCTTTTGGACTTTAAAAGCATTGATGGTAAGGAAGCCATGCAGGCATGAGCTCTGAGAAGATAAAACTTGGCACTAGTTGACAAGATATTAAACCACCTCAAAGACATGGTGGGTAGGTCTTCTATACTGGTTTTTAAGTAATCTAGACTTAACTAAAAATGTAAGTGAAACAAAGAGGATTGAAGACGTGGAAAATCTCTAATCTAGCACTTCTCTAAAAGAAGTGCTTCCTCGGTATAAAAAAAGTCATTTGTAGTGTTGCCTGTGGAGAAAAGTGAGGAACACCAGGAAAGCAATTTTTACCTACAATTAGTTGATGTTGTTAGATTCTTTGTCACACTTCTCCATTCATCTTTTATCAGTAAACATTATAATATCTAAACTTCATTCTTCATCAGCTTCTTTCATCTTGGGTGGCCAAGGTATCCAGATAGGCCTTTCCTGGGATTTGGGCTGGATTTTGGTGCCCATGGCCATCCAGGAGGCAGAGGAGTCAACGGAGGTGGTCATGTCCAAGGACCTCGTGTGTGCCAAGAGTCAAACCTGGCTGAGCAAATGTGCTTACTCCACGCAGGGGCCCAAGTGGGATACAAGCAGAATAAACCGAGTCCACCGCTGGATGGAACCAGAGGAAAACGGAGTTCATAGTTAGGGAAGTTGTTTTCAACAGCATTTAAACTTTATTCTTAAACTGCCATCAACTATGGCTGTGTTTATATGGTCCCCAGACCACCTTCATCAAAATTACCCAGAGTTCTTATTAAAAAGAGGATTCTTAGGAACTCTCCCAGACCTAGCAAATCAGAATCTCTGGAGATGGGTCCTGGGAAACTGGGAATCTGCATTTTAAACAAGATTTCCCTTGCCCCTTCCCCTAGGCAGTTGCAATGTACACTGAAGGATCAGTGCAATGGTAACTTTTGTTTTTATCTTAATGATTTTTTTCTATTGATACAACGCAAGAAAATAATCCTCCAAAGGTGTGCTTTCTTCAAATGAAAGGGATATCAGTTTGATTTCAAGGATACTGTTGAATACCATGTTGAGGAGGATTTAGGAGTCACGTTTTGACCGTATGGTAGTGTTGAGATTGGTGAGTGATGTCTGTTATGACTGTGGGAGGGAAGAGCTTTTGCCACCCCTGCTCCTAAAACACTGAAACATGACATTTGCTGTCAGGTTGCCCTTGCTCAGATGTGTTTACCTAATATTCTGAATAAGGTATCTTCATAGGAAGGGCTTGGGCACATATACCTTTCATATAAATTGCTCTTCTTTGGTTCATTTCAGATGAGGTGGTGGAGCAGAGGTCTGGCTCCTCAACGCCCCAGCGGTCCTGCTCTGCTGCTGGCTTACACAGACCGCGATCCAGTTTGGATTCTGTAACTGCGGAGGGCCATTTGCTCTCTGGCTCCCTCACGGCCTCCCTGATCGGAAGCACGTCGTCTTCAGTTCCACCTCGCCTGGGCAGTCACACCATGGATTTTTTTGAAATGTGTGCCAGTCTGATCACTACTTTAGCCCGTTGATGATCTTTCCTTAGTTTCTATCTTTCTGTTTTTGCACTGTAAAAATCAGGTATATTCTTTAAATTATTGTTTTACTTATGGATATCACATACTCTGCAGTACTGGTTGAGAGCTGTGACTATCTCCAGGGGACGCTCAACGCCATTGAAATGACTGAAAACGTAAAAGTCTGTCATTTCATTTACTGTGGACATCTGTAATTCTGTTTTGCCTATGATAAATTTACATAGGTAGTATCTTTAATACGTGAACACTGATGAAGATTATTGTTAATCTAAAATTGTGGATTCACTACAGATGATTAATACACCTTTACTGGTGAACCATCTCAGTCAAAGGGTGGTTTGGCAACATCTTCTTGCTTTACTGTTTAGTGTAGATAAATCCAGTTTGCTTCCTAAATTTCAGCAGGCTTTAAGCTGTGTTTATGCACAAGAAGATTAAAAAAAATAGACCAAACCTTAGTAAGATAGTAATTAAATGTTGAAATCTTAAGAGCCAGCCCTGCAAATTTCAGAAACCAAGTTGTGCTAGCAGTTTTTGCAAATATTGCCCAGTGTTCAGCAGAAGGGCTGTGGTCCTGAAACAGGAGGTAACCGTCATTTCCAGGTTCCTTAAAAACTGCTATAACCAACTAGAGGTTTTATCTTGAGATTTTTCCTGAATAACATATTTAAGAGCCTTCAGGGTTCTACTCAGTACTGGAACATATGGAATTACAGCCACCTTTGTCTTTTTCATAAACTTATATCATTTTACAACATGCCATCAAAATCTACGTTTCTCAGATTCTTTTTCACTCTATTTATTTTTGTACTTCAGCAAGCATGATAAAATAGACAGTTAAATGAAACAAAGCAAAATGTCAACAGTCTCTTAAAGAGAACTCTTATCTTTGATCTCTTATTGTGTGTGGTGGTGAGGAGTTGTGTGTATGTGTGTGTCCTGTTGCATCCCATAATGCTGATTCGTCAGAAGTTTGTTACTGTATTCACCCCCCTCCCTCACCTTCCCTAGTCACCTTTGTCTTTGTTTATTGTTTGATCCTTAGTGGCTAATTGACTCAGCTTTGAAATCTTTTCTGGTTCTCTTTCTTTGTTCTATATCTTGGTTGCTAGCCATCCAGTTTGAAACACTGTTCTGGCCCTACGGGCTTTTGTGTTCTTCCAAAGCTTGGTAGGCTGTGACTTTCACTGTTGAACCTGGTAGGGCAGGGAAGCCTTAAACAATCAAAAAATTCTCTCTTGAATAAATATATGTGTTGTTTACATATATACATATATGTATTCGCGCCAGTGCTTTTAAATGAAAAACCAAACTTTTTTTTTTTTTTTTGGCTTTGTGCAGGTTTTATTAAGGCTTTTTAAAAAAACAAAAAACCTATAATCAGCAGGGTATATAATAGCCTATTGATTATATTTTGTTTTATTAAAAATATTTAATTTTAAAATTATGTATAATTTATCAAATTTGTATTTATTCATTTGTCTTGTTTAATATGTTATAATTAATAATCTCATTCACCTGACTTACCCTATAAAAGATTAAGCTCTTGAAAACAAAAAGTGACATTGCCTTGACAGGTTTCTCTTTGCCAAAAATAATGTGTTTTCTACCAAGAAGCAAATGAGAATGTTAGACCAAATTTCTCTTGTGTTTATGAAAGACAAGTATGTCTGTCTTTAAAGAGCTTTGAGTCAGGAGTTTGCAGTGTGTCACATCATATTGTTTTGCAGAACTTTTTTAAAATGGTGTTATATAACATCTAAGCCTGACTTAATATCAAAATACAAGGAATCCTTATTAGCCAATTTGGGAAAGAGGGTGGGGTTGCAGTTAAGATGTGTTAAGTTTAAACCTTTGAAAGATTGCCATCTAGTGGCATCGAAGGATACTTTTTTGTGAATATTTTTATAGGGAAAAGCAGTCCTGCTGCATATAGGTATGGCATAATTTTGGCCTCAACAAATGTGTAAATACCTCTTTTGGGAAAAACAGGGCCACCTCATAATACTTGCCTATGAATGGGGTGACCTTCAAAATAAGGAATTAATCTGATTCCTTATTCCCAATGACAAAATCCCTAACAATTTTTAAGACAGAGAAACGGTAGGAAGGAATCCAGTGGCATTTTAACTTCTTCTTTAGTCTAATGAATCAAATGTTAGAAACTTATATCAAAATTGCTTTAAATGGATGATTGTCATGTTTTTTAAGAGTTAAAAAGTTATTTACTATTTTCTCATTCTTGCCAGTATTTATGAATATCTACATTTTGGTAGCCATCTGTTGAATTTTAGGAGAACCAAGGGTCACAGTTTGGGTTCTTGTGTCCTTAAGTTTTTAGAGCACAGCTCTTCTGTGAATGTAGATGGCATAGTACTTTGTTTGTAGAGAGAAGATTACAGGAGGCTCAGCCCAGCATAACGGGGCTAGAACATTTTCATAGGAGACTCTTTGTTGCTAATGAGCAGGGAGAGGGAAGGAAATCAGTTGCTAAATTCCCACATTTCAGTCTTGTAAACTGGGTAATTGTGGATGTGGCATGTGCTAGACAGACCTGGGGTAGGAACAGTTTCTTCACCTTAAGATTCTGGAGGAGAGCTTCTATTATTAGGCTACAGATAAAGTCTTAGCTGTATCATGGAAATGGAGTCCATCCTGCTCCTAGAATAGCATTTCCCAAACTGCATTCTGTCAGATGCTCTGTAGAAAGGGGGTTTCATTGAGCAGGTTTGGAAAATGATGCATGTTACTCTCCTGCTTGAAGATGACAAAGGAGGTGGGCATAAAGCCTTTGCCGAGTCCTTCTGTGAAAAAAAGAAAACCGTTTAACTTTGTTTAATCTTGCTTTGCCCAGATTCATGTAAACATGGTTTTAAACTTACTATCCCCTGGGGAAAAACATATTTGAAAAATACTATTTTAAGAAAATTATTGTACCAGGTTGCCATAATGGGTAGATAAGAATAAAATTAAGATTTCCTTCTCCCTTATCAGTTATTGGAGAGAATCTGGTTCAAAATCAGAATAATTTCACTTTAGCCTGTAGACATATTCATCTTGAGTGAATGCTGGATTCGTAGAATTTTATATGTCTACAACTTGTTTCATAGCACCTTGATTTTCTTAATCAGGTTGTGGTATTTTGTGGAGAGCAAAATTTATTCTTTTTTGTGTTGAATGGATAACTGAAAAACCTTAAACAAGATTACTTCTAAAAATTGTCTAAGAGACTATAACCAATGCTTATGGCTCTATGAGTAATGAGTCAATAACATTGATTCTTACTTCCAGAAAGTATAGTCAGTGAACGTTTTCTAAATACTTTTATATATAGAACACCATATTTAGATCTAATTCCTGTTATTCTTTAATGAAGAAACAAACAACATCCCAAATTAGATATGTTGGGAGGGAGGGAGGCAAACTATTATATTATAAGTTGGGCTTTTGCTTTCATCAACAAATTTTTGAGACATTTTTGTAACCACTAGTGTTTACATTCCTTGATACTTGCCAGCTATAAAGAGAATCCAAGAGCCTAAATTATTCAGAAATAACAGTATTCCATGTCAGGGAATTGGCTATATGTAGTACAGACAATTCTCCCCTTTCTGCACATAGGTTTCCTGGGACAGTTACATGATCCTGGGCTTGCTTTCTCTTATTCCCTAGCCAGTCTGTACTCAGGGAATACAAATTGATTTTTTATTAGGTGAGACATAATTGAGAAGATAATCATAGACAACTGTTACAGATTTTTTGACTATTTGGATTTATCTGTAAATGTACAGTATATTGAGTTAATATAAGCAATGCACCTTCCATTTATAAAATATAAGATCTTGGAATGTGCCTACCACAGACACTGCATGTTTGTCTATTCACTGGTTAACAATTTAAATCCTGTTAATGGCTGTGAAATCTCAATATCTAAATGCCAGACATGTTCACAGTTTTGTCTGTTTTTATTTCTTTTTAAAGAAAGACCTCCACGTTTTCAGTTTGGCACTTCTTTACCTGATCATTCTGTCACTCTGTGACTTTTAAAATAGGGAATGTACTTTAATAATAGTTCTCAGAAACTCTAAAATTCTGTCTGAGGGATCTGTGCAATCTGTTTGTAAGTCACATCCTGTGTTGGGCCTCATTTTTGTAACCTCTAAAGTGGGAGGGATAGATTAAAAGACCTCTGAGTTACCTTTCAGCTTTAAAGTTCGGTCTTCTCTGCCCTTTCATATGATTTGTCTTAGTGCTCACTTTGTACACATTTAGAGGTTTTATACTAGTGTGAATGGTCTGTATTTGTTTGGCGAGGTGTTTTGAAGGTATATACTAAAATATTTTTCTAAATACAGCTGCCTCCCTGGAATACAAATGGTAAAAATCATCCAGAAAACCAAACATGTTAAAATGTCATGTGTACTTGCCATAAAGCAAAGGATTACTAATTTGGAGTGTTCCATACATTTTAATAGTGATTTTTAGATCCAGAGACCCTCCGTATCTTCTATTAACTTATTGAATACGTTACAGTAACCTTGTGAGTTAACGATTTTCCAGATGAGAAAGCAGGACCAGAAAGCTCTTCACAAGGCTTTAATGCCATACAAGTGTTCAATGATGATCACTGCTCTTTATATGCCCCCTTCCTCTGGGGAAAAACAGTCGGAATCACTGAAATATCTGCATAGTTGAGTAATAAAAATAAAGATGTATTGCTTTCAAGTCTTAGAGTGACATGAAGTAATCTTAACTGAATATTTTTTAGTTTAATTATTTGAACCAGTTGATTGTACTAACTAGATGTAATTATCGTAAGTATTTATGATTAGCATATTGATTTTTGTTAAGTACTTCTAAGTTATTGAGGGTGCTTAAAAAATACTGAAGAAACTTTTTAGGACATGATTCTTCCTTTAACTTTATTTATATGATTCTCATAGCAAAGATTTTTTAGAAAGTAAAACTAGCCCCAACTCCTATCTTAAATTATCGTAGTTTTGGACTGTTCATCTAAATTAGGCTTATCTAAATTTCATATAGAGATAGATTGATAATTTTTCATTTTATATGCATATTAGATGATAAGATGCTATTTTCATAGAGTATATTTCTATTCACAGACTACCTAATTATTATTGGCTTGATATGGATTCTTTTAAACCTTATAAAAATTTAAAATGTAATTTATGTTTGAGCTTTTCAAAGTGTATCTTATTTAAGCAAGTTGCTGGCATCCTTACCAGCCTTTCCCCATATAATTATAATGCATTTGATGCCACTGAACAGTAATAACATAAATAACAGGACCCACAGTCTAGACTATGTTGAGTTTTAATTAAACTTTTTCAGTCATAACCTGATAAGAATCAGGCTGGGTCTAGAAGTTAGACTGCGGGGCTGTGTTAATTTCATGAGCCAATGTTAATGTTTACTGCCAGCCTGCGTAGCAATGCCAGTTTGCAGCCGTGATTGTGTATGTGACTTTTGGTAACTACCGTTTATATGTCAAGCAGCTCAGATGTTATGGAATTAGCTCATGGTTATTTGGACAAGCAGGGTAAGTAAATTTAAGTTACATTTGAAAAAATGCAATTAAGGAAATCCGAGAGCAGAATGCTCTTTCCAGG